TATTTTGTTTTGTACAAATGACAGCATGCAGCAGTATATCATATTGCAGCAGTAGAAAGTTTGTGTATCCTAAATTATTCACTGACTCTCAAATGTATCACATTGGTTACTATGTTTTTTTTTCTTTTAAAATAATTTAATATAGTTTGTGGGAAGCTACCATCTGAATTTATGATGGGGCAGGTGTGCTTCATTCACTTACTGACTGAAAACCATACAGCTATAATTCCCTGAAAAAGCAGAAATCTGCCAGGTTGGTTCTGCAGCTCAGCGTAGCAGAAAGCAAAGATAAGTATCAAAATAAAGGATCTGGAATATTGAGAGGTGTGATCTTCAGTAAGAGAGCTACTACAGCAGCTCTCACTAGAATATCTTAACTGCTGGTGTTAAAGGGTTGCTGGTTGAGTAGAACCATTTTTGCAACCAATATTTCACTTTCAAAGCAAATTTGAGGGATTAAAAGACGAAGGCCCCTATCTCGCAGGGGTTCACCTGCATGATACTTGTTTAACTTCACACGCTTCGAATGTAGCCACGAGCTCCATTCACCGACTTCATTGGGTCTTCAAACAGGCATGAGGATAATAAAAGACTAGTTCTGGCTGAATTATTTTATTCAAAATAGTTCAACAAAAATGTCATGTCAAAATGGAAATTTTTTTATTTTCAATTCCATTTTTTCTGGTTTTCACCAAAACTTCCAAATATGGGAAAACTGGAATTTTTTTTATCCAAAAATGTTTCTCAGACAATTTTTTTTCCAGTAATTCCTCCCCCTACCAAAAAAAAATCACCACTTTTAGGGCTGGAAAAACCCAAACAATTTTGATGGAAAGAAAATTAATTTGCGTCAAAACTTTTAATAGAAAAATATTTTTTGACTAGCTCTATTATAGAAATTTCAAGTTTTCCCTTTGGATGAAGGACCAAGAATTGTTGATAAAATGCAGCAAGTGGGTGAGCAGTTTGATTAATCTTGACTTATAGAATTCATCCTTTTCTCTGTGTATTGCTGAGCCATTTATGCTTCTATCCCTGTCTTGTTAAAAGCTACATCTATGGAGTAATTATTTTTGCTTTTGAGATGCACGTGGATCTGCATATATTACCAAATCAATGAAGTGATGTTATATAGGTGCAAGTGTGTGGCATTTTCCAGGCAGCTATAAAGGACAAGTATATTGAGCACAATAGGAATTGTTAGAGAGTCTACCAATCTAAGGCTATGTCTACACTGCAGCTCTTTTCTGGGATACCAAGAGGGTTAGGGTTATCCCAGAAAAGCAATGCTGTGTCCAAGGAAATTTTTTTGGAAAAGCGGACGTGTTCTTTCCCAGCCCTGTAAACGCCAGCCCTCGTTGTATGAGGAAGGAAGGGATGGCTCGAGAGCAGATTTTTCTGAAATTTGGCGCCGTGTAGACGTGCCAAATTTTGGAAAAGCTTCTTTCGAAAGAAAAGCAGAAAAAGATACACAAATTACGGCGTGCAATTTGCATATCTTTTTCTGACTTTTCTTTGTAGTGTAGATGTAGCCTAAGATCCCAGGCCTGTATAGGTGGACCCTTGTACCTAACAGTGGGAGCCAGCTGCTGATCCTGCGAAGATGTATGTACATGCCTAAGTTTGTAGACAGTTCACAGAATTCACATTCCCGTAGGGTGCGTCTACAGAGCAGCATTATTTTGGAATAACTGTTATTCCAAAATAACAATGCAAATGTCTACACAGCAGTTCTGTTATTTAAAAATAAATTTGAAATAATGGACGCCTTATTCTGACTTCTGTAAACCTCATTCCATGAGGAATAATGCTTATTCTGAAATAACTATTTTGGAATAGCAGTAGTAGGGATGCCCAACTGCTGCTATTTCGAAATAGCTCCTCCCCAAGGCCATTCAAATGAATTACTCCCCAGTGCCTCCTGGGCCTCTAAATCGAGGTAGCGCATCCACATTAGGAAAGCCTGCCTTGGACTAATTTTGAGGCTTCCCTGTAGTGTAGACACGCTATTTCAGAGTATTTCTTCTGGAACAGCGTATCTTGAAATAAGTGTGCAGTGTAGACGTATCCGTGGACTCACAATACAGTAGATTTCAGAAGGGTAGCCTTGTTAGTCTGTAACTTTTTAAAAATGAGCAGTCCTGTGGCACCTTAGACTAACATATATTTTACCCATGAAAGCGCATAATATATTTGTTAGTCTCCAAGGTACCACAGGATCGCTCATTGATTTTAATACAGTAGAAGTCCATCTAATTCAACTGGACTGCCTACCATGCATAAAGGTGATCAGGTGTATATATCTTGGTAGGTCTGAAGTGCATGGAAAGGGGGATTATATGGCTGAACACTGTTTGCTTCTGGATTGATTAAAGTAAGGAAAGAATGTAAAAAGCGAGAGGCCACTTACAATGATGCTTGTACCTGTTTGTGTGCACGTGTAATTAACCGTAGCGTAAGGGAGATGCTCTGTTTAGCGGTGCACGCAGTTTATGGGTAGCTCTGTTGCTTCTAGAAAACCCTCTGTCCCTTCTGAGCATTGGTTTGTGACTGCTGCTTACACACATACACAGCTGCTTACACACACACACACACACACACACACAGATACACACAGCTGCTTGCTTACACACACACAGCTGCTTATATACACCCACAGCTGCTTACACACACAGACACACCCACAGCTGCTTACACCCACAGCTGCTTACATACAGATACAGATACACACACAGCTGCTTACTTACACATACACACATAGAGCTGCTTACACACAGACACACACAGCTGCTTACTTACACATAGAGCTGCTTACACACAGATACACACACACACAGCTACACACACAGCTACACAGACACACACAGAGCTGCTTACACACACACACTCTAGCCCCCCCTTCCCCTTCCCGGCGCGCGCCCAGAAGTGCTGCCAGGATCAAGCCCTTCAGCATCTCCCTCCAGAGAGCGGCAGGGCAGGGAGGCGGCCGGGGGGGGCCCTGACGTCGGTGGCGCGGGGGAGGAGCCCGGCCGGGGGCTGGAGCCGGTAGCTTTATTAGCCCCGCAGGGCGCGCGGCGCAGGCAGGGCTCGGCGAGCAGCAGGCGGCAGCGCAGCGGCTCCCCCTGCCCCGCTCCCCCGGACACGTGGGCTGGCGAGCAGCCGCCCCTGCGGCGCGCACCTCCCCTGGTCCCCTGCAGGGAGGCGGCGCGGAAGACCCGCTCCCGGCCCGCGCTGGGTGCAGCCCGCCGCCACCAGCCCAGCGAGCTCGCAGAGCTTTCCCGGGTCTCTGCGCGCGCGGCTCTCGGGTGGCGGAGGCTGCAGCTTGTTTTCGGGAGGGAGCTCGGCTCGGGATGGTTCTCCTGTCACTGCTGGTAGTAGCAGCCTCTCTCCTAGGGGGTCGGACTGCCGCTGCGGAACAAGTAAGTGGCTCCGGGACGCACATGGCTTGCTGCACCCAGAGCTGATGCAGCTACCCCCCCCCCCTTTGCATTTGGAGCAGGAGGGGGGAACAAACTCGGTTGCTAGTTTTAGGCATTGCCTTGCAGGTACTGACTGTGAAATCGCTTGGTCGGGGTGCTGCCAAAGCTCTCCCTCCAGTTAAGTCTCGGCCAGAGCAATAGCAATAACTTCTTCTATTTCCACCTACACCCACCACCCTCTGCAATATTTGGTTGGTTTTAAATCGTCTTTTAATGCACCGAAGCAAAATGCAGGACTATGTAACACTTGAAAGACTAACAAGATGTCTTTAAAGTGCTACATTGTCCTGCATTTTGCTTCAGCTACACCAGACTAACACGGCTACATTTCTATTACTATTTTAATGGACTGACTGCGAGTGCACGTTAAGTTGCTTGACCTCACAGGAATGATTGCTGCCCAAGTCAGGGTCTTACCGTATAATTTAAAGAGTTATTAGTCTCAACAATGATTAATAATACCGGCAGGGAGAAACATATTGCCATCACCAGTTGAGCTGCTCTGTTCTTTTTGTTATGTCACCGTCCCTCTCTCTTAGGGCATCTGGAATCATGAATGAATCTGGATTTTGGTTCTCCTCCTTCCCTCCCCCCCCTTTCATTATGATCCCTTAAGAAATCCGTTCAAGGAGGGGGTTTCTTTTCAAGGGGCTTGTAATTGTCTTCTGGTCTCTTTCTTGCCAGTGAGGAGATGTGGTCTGCAGAGGAAATACTTTGGCTTTAAGGGAGAGCCATCTATTGTGCACACCTCAAAAGAGAATTGCTTGCACCATCCTTTTGTTACAAAGTTTGACAGCTCGGGGGAAGTGGTGGGAGCATTTTCTGGCTTCTCTCTTTTCTGCTGCTGGGCTGTTTTTTCTCTGTCCTCCGCCTTCTGTTTGCAGAGTTCACTGTCCTCCCTTCTGTTCCCGGAATAGTAAACCCCAAACTTGACTGTGTCCTTAGTTTGGCAGCAGCTACCTTGAGTCCCATCCTGCAGCCAGCTGAAATCAGTGGGAGTTTTTTCATTGATTCAGCAGGCTGCTGTGTCTGACTCCTGTGTGTATAGCTCTCCCACTTCTTTGCTTGAGCTATTCAGTCAGATGCCTAACTGCCTGTAGGTAGAGAAGGGTAGTTTGCTTTCCTTGGTTTTCCTAGTATCAAAACCATCAGCATACATACCTGATTATTCATTCATACTCCTACTCTTCAGGAATCATAGCTCTGATTAATGTTAAGGCCTTTCTTTGGCCACTGGAATTATTTTTTGGCACAGAGTCATATTTATAGAATGGTTCATTCAGAATTAAGACTTCTTAGCTGCTCTATTTTTTAAACTTATTATGGAGTCTATTAGTATATTGGTGGGAACAGCTGGTTATTCAATTAGGAATACCAAAAGCAGAACTGTGGAAAAGTGCAATACAAACTAAGGGATTTTCCACCTTCCAGTAGCATATGTTTTGCAGTAACACATCACATAATAATTAAATAACAGTTTTGTGTGTGTTTCTGTTCCCCCCCCCCCCCTCCCCTCTGCAGGCTGGTAAAGAAGGAATGATCCAAATAGGTAAGTATCATTTATTATTTTTTCTGGAAAGTAAAGTAAAATAAATAAGCTTTGTAAGTCAGTTTAAATAAACGTCTTTTCTTGAAGAAGACACTATTCTAACTAACATTTTTATACTTTAACTATAGAGTCTTCCTCACAGCAGAATTGTGTAGATCTGCAGTAATGTAATTAAGCTTTAGGCCCTCTTATTAGCACCCTCACACTTCAACAAAATTTTACACTTTCCCTTTTAAAAGAACAAAACCAACAAAAGTTAAAAATTGAAGCATGCTTATCCAACCAATTAGATCTCACGGTAAATGAGATATATGGGATTCTTGAGTACCTCTTGAATGAAGGAAGGAATACTTACATGTTTTTGGACAGAGTCTTGATGTTGTGTGTAAGTATTTAATATTTTTTACCTGCAAATATTTTGTTATAATGACCATGTGGAATATGGGATAAATAAGGGAACTGAAGGAAGGGTTTCTCCCTTAATATTCATTGGTACTTTTAAAACCTTACTATTTCCATTATACATTTAAATCCACTTTTTGATTTTGAACTACTAAATTTTTAAGGAACTGTGATTAAAATAAGAACCTGGAAATTCTGGAACAAATAATCTGGTGCAACTTCAAGAATTTTAATACATCTGTGCCCATTTACATCAGCAAAGAATTTGGTCCTCTATCTTTATGAAAGGGAATGTGTTCTAGCTAGCACAATATAGGAATAGGTGTGTGGTCTTATGGATTCTCTTCTTGGATTAGTATTTGACCTAGGGAGTGGAATCTTATTCATTTCTCAGTTTACCCCTCTGTGAAAAGGCTGTTGTAGTACTTCACCAGTCCAGGAAGTTATCAGGTTTACTTTGTGTTTGTGTACAATGCTTTCAAACTCTCCAATGAAAAGATGCTGTATAGGAGGGCCATGCTCCCACCCTACTAAACTTTCCCAAATTGACGTTCTAACCCTCCAGCATGTGCCAGGTGTTTCGAAAGCAAGTTCAAGCACTTTCCTGAATTGTGGAGGTCTTTCTCTTAATTTCAGTTCTGGCACTGCATTCTAGTGTGTTGCGGTCAATTTCCACTCCTACCTATGAGTAATGGGAAATAAGGCACTTATGTGGGTTTACATTTAATTGGAAAACCCTATTTTTTCCCTACTGTGTGCTGACCTTGTGTTTTGTGTTCTGTTTTTTCCATGCCTTTTGGATTGTTTTTGAATTTCAGTAACCATAAGCTATACAGAAATGTTGCTCTTAGAAATTATATCATACTTCAGGGGAAAAATTCTTATCCTGGAAAATACATCTCTTCTCTCTCTCTTTTAATTTTATCTTTTTCATGTCTCAGTTGTCATAGTCTGGGAATGTTCTTGAAACACCCACAAAGACTAGGGCTACGATCTTGCCTTCATGGGGCAAAGCTGGATCCCTAGGCATGACTGGGCTATGTTCTCCATAGAGGATAGGGCAGGACAGATTTCTCCTTTTAATCCTGAGGTGGTAAGAGGAGCCATGTGGCTCCCTTAGTAAACTCTTAGGACCAGTAAATCTGTACTCTGTCTGCTCCTGCACCCAAAGCTACTTTCACAGTGGTGCGGCTGGAACGCCAATTGAACACAGCTGAGCTTGATACCTTGTGAGAGCTCACTGCAAGTTGCTCCCTCCTGTAGTATTACATTGATTTCACTGCCTTCAAGCTCTTCAGTGACTATTTCTTAGGCAGCTGGATTTGGTCCTTACACATTTCTGATTCCCTACTTTAAGTGACTAGCTTTTACCTACTGCATTTTCCTGAATAGATGGCATCTTGGTGAAGAAACATATTTGCATTTTAAAAACATATCTGGTAGCTTTATAAAGACTGGGTTTTTTTTTGCCCTAATTTGTACTGGAAAGGCATTTTTAAACCATTATTTTGATGTGCATTATTTTTAAATGCAGTCAGGTTCTATGAAGTCTGATTGCATGTCCCTCTGTGAGAACATGTGTGGTTCACAGAGTTTAGGGGTTTCTGCTGATGAATTCATACAGCTAAACCTGCCTTAGAACCCTCTCTGAGTAGATACCAACCACTTTCAAGTATCATCTTGCAGATTCTTATATACTTTTCTTTGACCTTTAGTGTACGGCTGCTCTGTTCAGCAGCTGATCTTTGCTTATACCTTGAGTGGTCATTTTTGATGAGTTTAATTGATATTTTTTTTGTAAAAAAAATGTATATACCCACATAGAATGTATAAACAGTGAGCTTCACTAAATTAATGTATTACATTAATTTGTAACTCTAATGCAATGAGTAGGTGCACAGTAATTGTCAAGCAGATATCTTATTGGGGATAAGACTAATCTAGAGGTTCAAATTAGAAAAGCATTCTTGTGAGATGGTTTTGAAACTCTGATTGGTGCAACAGCTCCTTTCTGTGTGCTCCAGAGCTCCACAGTGTGTACGTGCTCGGAGATGACACTGTTGTTAACCCTGCCACTTGAAGGATGCTTTGGTTTCCGACTCTGAAATGGCGTTAGTAGGAGGCCTTTGGAGAGACTGCACAAATTGTCTTCTCTTCTGGATAAAATAGTTTGACAGGGGTGATGAAAAGGGTCTGTAGTTCTGCAGGAACTGTGAAAATATCAGAAAGAATCCTGTATGGCTATTTAGGAAAAGAGTACGTCAGTTGCTAGTAGCACCATGTCAAGTTCACAGAGCAGGAAATGGGAGCATGATGGGTAATGGTTCAGCATTGATAATGCCTTAATATTGTTTAGATTTTTTTTTTTAAATCCATAATACTCTTTTCCCAGTTATGTATTTTGGAACATTTTAATAAAAGAATGTGCTATTTTTATAAACAATTCCTTTTGTGTTAAATATTATGCAACTATAGCAGAAATGTTGAGGTCAGTTGAAAAATAAAAAAGTGAAATTAAAATGCATCCCTTTCATTTCATACTGATTATTAATAAAATTTGGAATTAGCAAAACACTACAGCTTTGAAAATGGAGAATTGGAAAAAGAAAACACCTACAGATGCAACAGCATTTCCATAAACTGCAGTTTACCATAAAGTTATGACCTGAAGTCAGCAGAGGAGTTTGGATTTCTTCAGTATTTAAATGTCACATTTAATTTTAATTCCCTTTGAACAAAAGACTTCCTCTTCCACTTCAACATTTACTGACATTGGAAAGTCCTTTGCTGATAGCAAAAACTTTAATACTGTATGTCTTGTCCCTCCTTCTTATGATCAGCTGCCTATTCTCATTATTAATGACAACAACTTGTTTACCCCCACAAACTGAAATCTGGGAACATTACCATAAAAATTACAAAGTAACTTCTCAGATGTGCTGCAAATTCAGGCCTTGATCATCAGGCTGCAACCTGTGCTTTTTGGATATCTGCTTGTGATATGCAAAATACACAAATTCTGTAGTGGATAAAAATAATAATTCACCTGTTCTATTGCTCTATAAATGGATTTTAAGTAGAAACGGCCCTAAGGTGTGAAAGTTCCATTTGGATTTTTACCCATTGAACTGTGAGGAATGTTATGGTCCAGAGTTTTGATTGGACCTAGTGACACAACTAGGAAGTATTTAGTTTTCAACTTCCTTGCTTTCTATTCCCTACCTACTCCAAAAAGAGAGACAAATACACTCGGAGAAAAGTGGAATCTGGAGTTCTGATTTGGTTCCATCTGTCAGGATCCACATTTTTTTATATGATTTTTATATAGGAGTTCTGCATGAGTAAGGATTACAGGATCAGGCCCTAAAAAGGTACACATACTGGTTAAAAACATTTTTAATGGTGCTGTGACTATTGATTATGGGCAAGAGTGAATGCCTCCTTCAGGGAAGATCCCATTGTGATTTGCTAATTTTAATCGTGGTAGGCATAATAGTTTTCAGAACAGTGAAAGGTGTGAATGATGAGGGCATCTTCACTAACCATCTTAACCGCAGTATCTCCATAACATGCTTGAAGAATTTCCATTTCCATACATCTCCATAATGTAGTTTAATTTAAAGAAATAATAAATATTTATTTTTGTATTGCGTTATTTTAAAATATTTTTTTTATATAGCATGTAATCTAACGTTACAGGATAGTACAGAGTATTTCGTAACTTCTCTTCTCCACTGAAAGATTTATTTAATTAAAAAAGACCTTTAGGAAGACTATAGCTATTGCTGTCATACCACTTTCACAATGTTGATTGCTTTGTTCTCCTGGATTATATGAATATATGCAAAGGACCTTCCCTCTGAAAGTATTTTAATTTTGTGACAAACGCTTACACACATGTTTTCTTGGATGTCAGATTTGATAAATGAGTAGAATATGGGGTTTGCAGTTACAAAGTCTGCATATTTCAATTTAAAGGAATGGGCAAAAAAGTTAGGATTTGCCAAGCATTTCACAGCTGCTAACAAGCTATTGCTGTGCTATGAAGAAGGCACTAACACATCTACAGGCAGTCCCCGAGTTACGCGGATCCGACTTATGTCGGATCCGCAGTTGCGAACGGGGCCCGTCTCCCTGGTCTCCAGCAGACCAGGGAGAGGAAGCAAAGCGGCGGAGCACGCGGGCCAGATCCGGCCTGCCAAGCAGGTTGATCTGGCCCATGGAGGCCCTGCAGCTCCCAGGGCAAATAAGGCCTGGGGGTGGGGGGAAGTGCACAAAGTTTCCTCCTCCCTACCAGCAGTGCATGGCATTTCTAAGCACCACGCGCTCCTGGCAGGGCGGGAGGAGACTTCACGAGCTTCCCCGCCCCCAAGCTCTGATTGGCCTGGGGACAGAAAGGGGAGCGTCCAAAGCCTCTTCCCACAACCAGGCGTATGGAGGCCCAGAAGGAACCTCTGGCGGTGGGGCAAAGGCACTTTCCCACCCCCAGACCAATCATGGTCTGGGGGTGGGGAAGCAGGGAAGTATCCTTCACTTCCCCAAGCAGTACCTTTCCTTCAGTTCTTGTCCACAGCCCTGCAGAGAGCGGTTAAGGTCTGGGACTTCACGAAACCTACTGCTCTGTTTCTTGAATTACTTCATACCATATTGCTTTAAGCTTCTCCTTCATTAGCCTTCCTAGCCTCCCATCGCTTAAGGAGGGTGCTAGTATAGGCTTCTCTCTTGCTGCCTCCCCTGGTTGTGTTACCAGCCTCCTGGCTTTATAGAAGCTGTGCTGTTACCTGGCAGGTTAGCCTCCATCTAATTAGCACCTTCCACCTAGCCTACAGTTCACTCTCTTTGCAGCTTAATTCGGCCCAGCTGGCCTAATTCCTCTCCCTCAGGCAATGGGCGGGGATCCCAACCCATTCTAGATGTTTAAAGTTCTCCCAATATAAATTAAATATAAATCTTCTAGCTCTTCCGGTAGACTTTTATGTATCAGTAGAGTGAACATAAGAAGGGATCTTAAATTAGTGTGTAAGATTTGAACTTGCATTACCTCTGAAGTAAGGCTTCAAGAGCATTATTCGCCTTCTTTCGCCGTTGTTTTCTGATGTCCACTGCATATTGCTAATCATAGTTGGGAGGATATGCAATTATTGAATACAATGGATGAGTCAATGACACATCTGTAGTGAATTTTTTTGGTCGTTGTTGTTATTTTGGTGGCTTCCTATTCTGTTGCTATGTATCTGTTTCTCATTTTTCAAACCTATTCTTCTACTCTCATTCCAATTTTATTTTTTGGTGTGTGTATTTGTTTCTTGGACAGATTTACCAAAAATCAGACCGGGGCAGTATGGGCTGGTGACTCCAATCAGCACTAGTGCGGATGGAAGCTTCATTTCCAATATTATCTCTGCAAGCCATCAAAGAAGATTAACAAGGGATGTATCCCAAAGCTCCAAAAAACTATATTTTAACATCACAGCTTTTGGAAGAGAATTCCATCTCCGGCTAAGACCTAACACCCATCTGGTGGCTCCTGAGGCTGTAGTGGAGTGGTATGAAGATTTTGTGGAAACTGGAAATGGAACCGATGCTGGTAACAAAAGTCAGGCTAGCAGTGCAACAGAGCGGATATGGAAAAAAGAGCCTCTGTGGACCAATTGTACATATGTTGGAGATATCACTGATATCCCAGGAGCATCTGTTGCTATTAGCAACTGCGATGGTCTGGTAAGATTTATCCCATAGCATATATGTTTGGATCGTTATCCCTTTTCCACAAAGATTTAGTTACTGTTAAGTATTTAATAGTTATGGTATCATTTGGTTAACTTCATTTCCCAAACACATTAGAAATTGCACATTTTTTTTTTTATGTGGAGTCACTGGGTCTCCTGGTAGAATAACTCCGTTGCTGGATTTTCCCTTATTACAACACTGTAGGAGCGGAAAAAAAAATCAAACCTGTTTGCGTTATCTTTTGTTTAATGTGATATTTTGTAAACAGGGAAAATAAGCATAACAAAGTTATCCTCAGGAATTGCATAGCAAAGTTACAAAAACTGTAAGTAAATAAAAGTCCTTGTCCAATAATATGCATAATTTTGAGGTACAACAAGTTCACATACTGATCCCCAAAAATAACAATGACAGTTTATAAATAAAAATGGGTCATATGAAGAAGTGGGTTTTGCCCACGAAAGCTCATGATACTATCCACATGTTTTGTTAGTCTTCAAGGTGCTACTAGACTACTTTTTGCTTTTTGTTTTTTAAGTTTTTCCTGTTACAGACTAACTCGGCTACCCCTCTGAAGAGTTTAAAAATAATCAGGCATGTTTATTTAGAAAAAATACGCCCTTATTTTTCTATATTATGCTAACTCTTTTCAGGCATCAATTGGATCACAGTACTTACGGCTATTGTGTCCTGAAGGTTCTTTTGTCCTGTTTATGATCATAGACCAAAGTGTAGATTCTTCATTGGTTAGGCCAATGTAGATTCAGCAGCATTCTCTGTAAAGATAGATTGGGTTGGTGCAAGATAAAGGAAGTTTTGATATATAGTCACTGCATATGCAGTTTATTTACATAACTAGAACTGTAGCTTCCTGGAAGATTAATTTAGTGCTTTCATGTACTGTTCTTAAAGAGAGAAATAGTATGAGCTGGCCTGCAATGGACGTTCTCCTCCTCCCCCTCTTCTCCCCCCCCTTTTTTTTAAAGAGCTTTCCATCTTGGATGACTGACACACAAATTATTTGACCTTATTCTGCCATGGACACTAGACAACTGTGCTTGTCTGTTTCTGGAATGTAATGTGAAATTGTGCATAGTTTATTCCACATAAACCACTCACTACATGGTTGTTGACTCATGTTTCTGAAACACATAGCCCTTGGAGCCACGCTCTGTCAAAACTCTAACTTTCCTTAATCAGAGGAAGGCAGTAATAATAGTTGAGATTAGTTGTCTCTGATATGATCAGTTGATGGGGGGCGGGGGGGGTTAACCCATTTTGGTAACAGTATGCGTAATTGACAAAGATGCATGTAGACTTTTGAGCCAAGTGTGTGTCTGCTGTAGTGGTTTCAGTATAAATGAACTGCAGAGGCTGGCGCTGTGTGTTGTCAGTAATTCCGAATGAGGTGTTTGTGTTACGAGAGATGATGCTTCAAGAACAGAAATGGACGAGACAGTTATGCTTAGGTGTATGGCCGCATATGCAAAGGCAGACATGTTGCTGACAAGATGCCTGTGTCAAGTGTTGAGTTAATTAGAAAGGAGTAGGTGGTGGTGCCTTTCCTCTGCTCACGCAAATGCGGGTTAGCAAAGCAGGTAACATGGGGTCCTTAATGAAAGGATAGGAGGCTGATGGTTTTGAGGCATGATCCCACCACCCTTTCCCACAAATCCCAGGGAACCTCTTCCTATGTGTTTTTGTGTTGAAGGGAGGGGACATGGTATTCAGACTAGATACCCTAGGGAGGGGTATAGATAACTGCACCCAAATTTCTACCACTTTGAGCAATAGTAACTCAGGCCACACACCTACCTCTTTCCTTTCGTCCCTCCCCCCACTTCCTCTCCCCCACACACCTGGGATCCTGTACAGGGGTGAGTGTCAGCAGCCCTCATCATCTATGTTTGGCATTCTGGAAATCTATGTACTTGGGAGTCCACATGTTATGATTCTTCTGTACCCCTCCTTCCCAAAATCAGACCATAGGAGTGGGGACATTCAAGTGACCTCTGCAAAATTTCTTTTCTGTGCCCACTCAAAAACCCTCCCTATGTGTATGTCTATGGGATGGAACAGTTTGGCCCATATTATGAATGTAGGGCCAAATCATTTTCCCATTGCAATAAATGGAATTTTGCGATAGAAATGAATGGGATTAAAATTTGACCCTACAAGCTATAAGAAGTTTTTAGCTTTCTAATGGAGAAATGAAATACAAAGCTCTAAAAACCTACTGTGAAACACTCATGTAAAGCAGGCAGTGAGGTGATAATTGATTAAACATATGTGTGTTTGGATTTTTATTACTAATAATACAAAATCTAATTATAATATAAAAATGCAGGGCAGGGCCAATTCTGTAGTGAATAGGGGGATATTATCCCTGAGATGAGGTATGTGCTGCACAGAACATGTGAAAGTAACTATTTCTACTCTCCTTTCTTGTTGTTACTCTTTTTGACACTCCATTTTGATAACATTGTCAATAATGGCTCCTGTTCCTCTTGGTTTGCCTCATTCACTTGTGCTGTCTAGTAAAACTCCCAGGGACCGGATCCTGGCCTCCGCTCCACAAAGCAGGCTTCACCAGCTATCAAGGGACTCCCTCTGCATAAGTGAAATCCCTGTAGCTGCTTTGCCACTCCCAGAAAGAAGTTATGTGGGGGGCAGGGAAAAAGAAGCATGACTGGAGGAGCATGTCTGCACTACAGATTTCCCTAGCTGGGGGATTAGCCTGGTAAGACCATGTGCAACCAGGTGTATGGTGATGATGAGTCTGCTCCCTTACCAGCTCCAGAGCCTGCAGACAGAAACTGGAACAGGAGTAGGAAATACTAGGACTATGTGGCTATTGGCAAAGTTCCTTTTAAGCTTTAGATGCATTTTGAAACTTTCCAGTTGAGTCATGTAAGTTCTTATCATTTTTTTAAAAAAATATAGCTATTTTACAGTAACAATTCACTGACTGTGCAGTGTTCTAAGGTAAGTTTGATATCTTGAGTAACTAGAATGGAATACTTGGCTTACTACCAGTCAAGGAAAGTCCTGCAAAATTTTTGTATTGTGAGCAAGTAATCTGACATAAGGAGGTTTTTAATAAAAACTTCAATATAAATTGTAAGATACCTGCTGATAGTTGGGCACATTCTCTATTTCATTAAATTGTATTTGTGTATACATTACTAGAATTTATATTGGCTTATTACCAGATTTCACACTTGGCAGTGAGGTTATATTGCAGTAGAGAAAATTATGTGGCTAAATTGTGCTCTGTTACATTGACACACATACATAGAGAACTCTGGATTTACACTGGTGAACTGAAAGTAGAACTTTGCCTTGGGTCTCAGTACAAAATTGCTTATTTGGCTATTGTTGCATAAAATAGTTATGATATCAATAGCTTGTTTCAAACATTACAAGGAACTTCTTATGTACAAATCTATGTACTATCTGTTAAGGGGTCTTTGTTCCCCAACATGCATGCATAGTCAGTAATCTTAGGGGGAAAAAAAGCATCTGAGCAATAAAGTAGAAACTGTCACATTTTTTTCCTATGACCATGTTTTTTTTTTTTTTATATATATATATGTTATGTTTTATAATTCAAGTTTTGTGACTGGCTGGTTAGTACTATGAAACATGAGCATTTAATGATAAATCTGTAACTTAGGTAAAGCCTGTTGATATGTAAATGGCTTTTTGAGTGATATATATATATTTTTAAAGAAATGACATGCGTTTAGGAAAAATGTATCCACTAGTTTTGCTACATGATGCAGAGCTGAAGCCTTGTTTTTGGAAACATCATTTCCTTATGTTTTGACAGTATATTCCCTACGTTGCTTCAATCACTCTGGCAGACTTTGGTATTCATAATTTGTCAAATATTATTGTCAGAGTTAAAAGAAAGCTTATAACAGTTTTATTCACCACAGGATTTCACAGTGCAAAGTAAATCTTGACAGATTTTGCACAGTAGCATGGAACCACATTCTGCCTTGATTTATACCTCATGCTGCCCTATTCAAATTAACGGGGCTGCCTGCAGGTATAAATCCAGACAGAATTTGGCCCTTTGCAGATTATCAGTATCTCTAACTCTCAGCCTTTGAAGGGACAAACTTTAATAATAGGAAAATACGTGGAAAGGCAGTGTCTTAAAATTCTGTGACCTAAAAGCAGAAATTTTGAAGGAACAGTGGGGGGAGGGATAAACTTGGAAGACTATTAAGGGAAAACTTGATATGCTTTCTAGAGGTTTATCCTTCTGCCAGGCTGACATTAATCAGCTGAATATAACAACATCCTTCAGCTGTGTGGATCTGAGAAATCAAAGCCTGTGAACTCTGTCATTGGAGAAGGACAAAGCCAGAAAAGCACTACCTAGCCTTGATCAATAGATAAGTCACAGTTGCTCTGATTGTAGTGTAGGCTAACTCCATTTGTAGAAGAAATGGTGCCTCACTATTTCTTTGTTGACCTTTTTACTAAAGATTTAAAGCCAATTGAAATTTATCTAAACAGGATTAAAACAAGGTTAGGGTTAACAAGGCCAGGAGACATGTTTACCAGAGCTACATTTTGTATGACAAGAAAAACGTGTACTTTTCTACTATACATTCATACTCCCTTATTCTTGTAGTGTTCCTTACTTTCTATTTTTCCTCTTTTTTCTGCCTCTCTTTGCAGGTCAGCATTAATACCACAACTCCTGTCTCCCTCTGTGTCTATTTATTCTGTCTTTTTTCTGGTCTGTGAAGAGAGAGAACAGGTCTAGTAAGTGTTCAGGAGATTCTTAATTTGGACATACCTGATTTGATCTGTCAAACTGTATTAATTACATCTTTGTCTCTGGCTTATCCCTGTGGGCATGTATTAAGTGTGCCTCTGGGCTAAATGAAGTATTGACTGTAACATATTTTAATACATATAGAAGTAACAAGTTCACTTCCTTTAAAACAAGAGGAATATCCCCCCGAGGTCAT